TCAGCCAGTATTTTTTTCTTTCTCTTATTCCCTGTGCTCTGAATACAACTTAACTGGCTTTTTAAAAAAAAATTCTGCAGTTCTTCGAGATATGAAGCGGGGAAGGGACCTGGAGCAGATTTTGACCCAATACACCACTTTTGTCAAGCCGGCCTTTGAAGAGTTCTGCCTGCCGGTAGGTGACATTTTCTTCAGCCTTGGTTTCAGAGCCAAAACCTCGATCTCTTCTCCTTTGTCGAAAGATAGGAGGCTGTTTGATGCCCTAAAACAGGTTCTTCGCCCCAGACGCTGCCTGCTCGGCCTGGTAGCCCCTCCCCGTGTTCTCGGGCAGAGAGATGTTTCACACACACACACACAATTCCCTGCCACGGATCCTTTTCACTCGAGTGTCCACGGGTTGAATGCAGGACGCGCTTTCCCACGAAAAGCGATAGCCCCCATCCCTTTAAAAACCTGGATTCTTGTAAGACAAACAGGTCTCTTCTGGAGGGACCCTCCCCATGGATTGCAGCAGGTCTCCTCAGATGCACAGAGTGCTTGCTTCGTGCATCTGAGGATTGGGCCGGGCTGTGAGCCCGTCATGGCTTCTGACAAAATAAATCCGTTCCCTTCAAAAATGCGGCACAGCTGACCTTCCTGGGCTGTGGTTTTTGCGAAGCCTGATTCTGTTTTTCACCCGCAGACGAAGAAATACGCAGACGTGATTATCCCTCGCGGCGTCGACAACATGGGTAAGGGATCCGCGCTCTTTCGCCCTCTCTTGGGCTTAAGCCTCCCAAAATGGAACTGCCTGTTCTATTCCCGCCCTATCGGCCTCGCCTGGTCGCTCCTTCGCTAACAACGGAAAAGAAAAACACACCCTTTGTCATTCAAGGGCGGCACCAGAGCTGAGCGTTTTCCTCTTGTGAGGATCGGCCCGGCTCAGTCCCAACGGGAAGGTCTTTAAAACTCTTCTCCCCCCATTACAACTCTTTCATGCAAGGATGCAGACCACCCATCTCTGCTAGTCAAAATATATTTAATGGGACCATAGTTTATTTCTTCTCCTGCCACTCACATCTGTCTCGTATTGTGGTTCTAAATCATTGAGTGGCCCCAGGATGCTGTTTAACTCGCCCGGAGTTTAGGCATGGCAGTTATTTAATGTATTTCATTTATGAAGCGTTGGAGGACCGTCCGGATGCAAGCAGACGTTCAGCGAGGCTGCTATAAATAAACAGCAGCCGTCCGATGCTTCGGTCTCGGGGGGGGGGGGGGGGGGGGGGGGGGGG